CTTTGAATTTTCTCCTGTAACTTTGAATTTTTATTCTCATCAGGCTTTTTTTCCCCCCCCCCTTCAGAACTGGAACAACTTATAACAAGAAGTTTTATTTAAATAGATAAAATGCCTATTTTTTATTTAAATAAAAAAGCTGACATTTCTGCCAACACTTTATCTTTTACAATTAATTTTTTATAACAGTTTTTATAAACTCAGCAGAGTATTTTATCCCTTGAGATGAAAATTGCAGATCAATGGTTACTGGAGCAAAGAACCAACCTTAAGAGTTGATAGAGACTGAGTGGGACAACCCAGCCCCCGCTGGCCTGGAGCTTTTCCCTCTGCAGCTTCACCTCCACCACGTTCCTTAGAGCTGAACAGACTTTTCTCAGCATCCCTGTCACTTTCTAGCCTGGATTGTGATTATTTCAGCTCCAGATCTCTTGTCAGGAATGCAGAGGGTGGTTTTTGTTACTGGGGGTGAGCAAACCCTTTGGAAAACCCAAACTTGAGCCTGGGGGGGTTTTAAACTCTGCCAGTTGGCAATGAAAATGTGTATTCACTGGATGAATAACTGACTTTAGCTTAGAATCAGAGAATCCCAGACTGGTTTGGGTTGGGAGGGACCTTAAAGATCATCCAGTCCCAACCCCCCTGCCAGCAGCAGGGACACCTTCTACTAGACCAGGTTGCTCAAAGCCTCATCCAGCCTGGCCGAGAACACTTCCAGGGAGGGGGCATCTACAACTTCCTTGGGCAACCTGTTCCAGTGTCTGACCACCCTCACAGTGAAGAACTTCTTCCTAATATCTCATCTAAACCTCCCCTCCTTCAGCTTAAACCCATTTCCCCTTGTTCTGTCATTAACTGCCCTTATGAAAAGTCCTTCCCCTTTAAGTTTGTCTCATATCACAAGCTGTGCTAGAACACCAATTATTTTGTATGAGCTTTTTAACTTTAAAAAATATATATATATATATATGTATTTTTTTTCTCTCTCTCTGAAGGCTGTGGTACCAGCAGCTCTGTTCTTAGCAGCCAAAGTGGAGGAACAACCTCGGAAGCTGGAGCACGTCATCAAGGTAGCACACGCCTGTCTGCATCCCTTGGAACCTCCTCTGGAGACGAAGAGCGAGGTAAGTGTGGAGGTGGAAGAACTGGGCTCTGCTGTGAGGAATGAGGATGGCAGGAGCTTGTTGTATCTTGAATTGTGTGGTTACAACCTCTCCTTAAATCTGGTTGTGTCCTGGGATGCTCAGTGACAGTTTCCCAACCCAACTGCTCTTCATGCTCCTGAGAACTTTATTTGTTATTATTTTTTTGGGGGGGTTTCTGTCCATCAAAAGGCTTTTTTTTTTTTTTTTCCTTCTTTCCTGCTCTGTGACCAACTTTCTTCTGCCCTTTTTCTGCTTGTGCTGCTGCAAATGTGCTGTGTGAAAGGTAGAAAAAGCTTCTGAGGAAGGAGTGGATGTTGGCTGCTGCGATTGAGTCGTGTCTGTGGCAGAGCAGAAGGTGGTGGTGGTGTTGCACTTTGGTTCTGTTCTGTCCCCACACATGTTTTCATGGTGGGTTTAATTCAAAATGTTGCCCTTTGATTCCCCATCTTTCAAGACAGCCTGGAACTGAGTGGCCAAACCTGCTTGAAAAAGGGGTAATTTTATTCAGGAAAGGTTAAGGAGAAGAAAATAATTAATAATAATTAAACAAAAGCAGCTGATTCCTCTCCTGTCCTGCTCGGGTCACTGTCCCATGCAGTGTGAGGGACCAGGACTGAGAAGGGCCACTGTGGATCATCCTGAAGCAGCCATCCCATCCCCTATAGCAGAAGCATTTAGCAGGGGAGCACCCCAGCACTCTGCTTTCTCTTTTCCTGGCAGGGAAAATCTGTGCCAGTTCCCCACACACCCCCCCTTTTCCCCCCCTCTCCCCCCAGTAGTTACAGACCAGCATCAAGATTCTTCTTTTGCTATTTTTGCCTCCCTGAGCAAAGGCTGTTAGAAATGTGCAGGCTTTATACAGAGTACCTCATCATGAGTAACTTGCCTGTCCTCTCAACCCCAGGCTTACCTGCAACAAGCCCAAGACCTGGTCATTCTAGAGAGCATAATACTGCAGACCCTGGGTAAGTTTTTCCAAGCGGACGGGCTGCCACATGAATCCCAGAGCCAGGAACCTTCCAGAGAGCAGAGAGAACCTGACCTCACAGTCTTCTCCACAGCTGGAGGGCAGATGTACAGCTGGGTCAGTGGGAGAGCAAGAGTCCAGGCAACAAACTCTTCATTTTTTTAAAATTATTTTTAATTTTTGATTATTATTTTTCACACCTACTCCTTCCCTTTTCCTTTTTAACATCAGGTTTGTTGTTGTTGTTGTTTTTTTTTTTTTTTCTCAAGGTCTAATTTGATGGTCAGGTTCAATGCTCAGAGAAATGAAAGAGTTGGAAGTGTGGCTCATCTCTTCCCCTCCCTCCAGACAGGTTTTGTACCACGTGAGGACACACTGGTTGCTCTCCTCTCTTGTGCTGTTAAATTTGATAATGAATTTAATAATGCTCTAATCCCGTGGCCAGGAAACAGTTTGTGTTGAGAGATGTCTTAACAAAACCTAAAACTTAATATTTTGATTGGATAGCTGAATGTAGAGGGGGGGAAAAAAAAACCCCCAAAACCACAGGTTTGGGGGTTTGTTTTGTTTTTGGAAGTAGAAGCAGGAGCCTACGTTGAGGGCTGTGGCTGTTGGATCCGGTATCCTCTTCCTTTCTAAAAATGTACTGTTAAAACTTTGTTTTTACTAACATCTGTTCCATTTCAGAAGCACTTTTGTAGGTAAAGTTCCACTCCACAAAATATTCAATTAGTCTTTTGTTATTTCTACCTTGGATTTTGGGGGGAAATACCCCTAGTTGCTGACTCCCAAAGGGGCAGGTGTGTGGTGATGGGTCACACGCCGCCAACTTGGCAAACCAGTGGTTAAACTGTGACCCCGGGGTTCTCCAGTTGCCTTTTAAATCATCCTTGAGTTCTTTGAGAATGTTCTGTGTGGGAAGAACCAAATCTGTTGCACACATGGACCCATTGGAAATTTATTCTTATATTTTTTTTCTTTAAAACATAATGCCCAAACTGAACAGGAAACCCAAGCCAGGGTTGAGTTCAGTTGTCTTTAGTCCTTCAAAGGGAAAAAGTCTGCTTCCTCTTAGCTTTTTGGGTGACAGAAATTCCTTTGAGCCCATGCCATTGTCTTCTCCTTCCTCCCAGCTGCTGTTAAAAGAGGCTTTGTCCTGCTATTTTTAAAAATCCTTAATAGCTGTTTTTGTTTTCAGTCAGGTCTTTTTTCCAAGTGCAAGAAGTCATTTAGCTGCTTGGAAGGTCTGGCAAGCAGCAGTGACCTTCTGGTTTTATGACTGGAGAACTTAAATCTTCTGGATACAGGAAAACAGGCTCTTTTAATTCCCACTTCCCTCCAAGCAGAGAGCAGGGGCTGTAGGAGGGACGGGGAGAAACCCTTGTCCCCCCCCAGGAGCAGGAAACGTGAGGTTCATAGATCTGCAAAGCGTGTGCTGCTGCTTTCCTGATGGTCCTACATCTTGTGTTCTTCCAGGTTTTGAGATCACTATTGACCATCCTCATACCCACGTGGTGAAGTGCACCCAGCTAGTCCGAGGTAAGTGATATCAGGTCTCAGGGGGGTTGTGGTTTCTTCTTCCTGTAACCTCAGTTTGATAGAGAAGAGCTGTGAGAAAACACGTTGTTTAGCTGAGAGAACTTCTCCTGCAGTCAATCTCCTTAATGACCATAATGAAGGTCAGTGGTGAGTGACTGAGGTGATGCTGTGGCTCTGCTGAACCACACAAAGCTCTCTGCCTACACTCACCTCTCCAATCCTCCCAGCTGTGCTGTAGTTAATGGAGCTGTGCTGGTTCCAGAGGGGGGTGTGTGTGGGGGGAGCCCTGTGGTTCTCGTGGTAAAATACAATAATATTTGTCAGGATATGCAGACTAACACCCTGCTTTTTCCTTTTCTCTTTCAGCCAGCAAGGACTTGGCCCAAACTTCCTATTTCATGGCCACTAACAGGTTATTATTTTACAATTGATTCATATTTCACCAGGGTGGGGTGGGGATGGGGTCTTAACTGGAGGAGATGTGCTGCTGGTGACCCTTAGGACATTGATCAGCCTGTGAGCAACTGAGGATCCCTCAGTTTGGTTCAAGAAAGAGCAGGAATCTTGGTAGCTGCTGGTCAGAACCAGCTGCAAAATCAACCAGAGGCTGATGGGATGCTCAGGAACTTCACTGCTTTCTTTTGTGGGGAGTTAGTTGTGAAAATTTATAAAAAAACCCCCAAAAAACAACACTAAAAATAGGCTTGAAATGAATATATAAATTTTTTTGCTTGCTTACTACCTACATGTCAGGTTTTCACTGAACTAGGTGCCGTGCAAATTGTCAACAGATACAATCTGTACCCTAAAAAAGGCTGATCTAGAGTGTGAGGGAGGAAGAAAAAAGTAGTTGGATGCAAACTTGAGGCATTACAAGAGAAAACAATCATCT